TAAAATGTTAAAGTTCCCCTTAAATCTCATAAATACAATCATTTATTCAATATACAGAATCAAGCAAGTATAACATTTAGACCGGCAAACGACAATATCAGTCATTGCCGTAAGTTCAAAGATAAATTAGATGTTATAAATTATTAAATTATATTATTTACGAGTATAATTAAAGAAATTGTTAGGAACTAACTAACTATCTCTATTTTATGGAAGAAATAACAATGAATACATAAGGAATTTAAAATTCTAATAAGAAAGACTTAAAAAAGTAAAAGCAAAATGAAGGCTTATTTTGTATATGGATTTCATACTAGAGGTGTCATAATAATATGAGGGCTAAAACATGATTCAGATCTCATGGTGACAGATGGTACCCGGCCGCACATATACTTATATAGTTATCAGCATAGATGTATACATTATCGTATATATAGATTTTTATTCTCTTGTTCTTATTAAAACAAATTGATTGGTATCTATGTATATACTAAATGTAATTATAAAACTTTTCTGTCTTGCATTACATTACGTTCCGATAAAGATAAAAAAATGCTAAAGGCTATCAATTAAACAAGGATTTTATAACTTCTTAATACAAGCAAATAGCTTAATAGTTCTTCTTTTATGTATGGGCTAATTAATCAAATAAAATAATTGTTTATAGTATATTAAAACATTACTTATATTATCCCAATACTTTGACTGTTATTTAAAGTCATCTTCAGAATACCATAAAATTATATTTCTAATTATTAACGCTATTAACTGCTACTTTACCCATGATTAGTATCAGCGCATACATTGAAATTGCTGAAATCTTTCGTTATTCATCCCTAGAAGATGATTTTCGTGGCTTAGCACCTACCGAAATAAGAGAAGAACCCAAAGCAAGTAATAAATGACTCCATAGTTTTTTTCATTTTTAAATAAAAGTTTTCGTTATTCATCCCTAAAAGATTATTTTAGTGAAAGCATAGACCATAGTCATTAGACTTTGTCAGAAGAATTTCACCCCTATAGTTGTTAATATATTTATTTATACTAACAAAATATACTATATGAAATCTTGTTTAATAAGATCGTTAAAATTATTGACAATGGCTGTGTCTATCAGCAAACAAAATTATCAATAGATTTATGATAAACGAAAAGGTGTTGTCAAATGCAATTTCGATATCTTTTTAATGGACCACAACGATTCATAGCTAGTTAGTTAGTTGTGTTAAAGAGAGGAACGAGTCCGCCTCAATTAGTTCAAAAAGCCATTTTGAATCCACAAAACCTCGTAATAGTGGGTAGTAGAGAGAAGGTCAAACTAGAACTAGCCAGAGGCATTTATAAAGGCAAGAATATGGCCAATGCTAATGCTCAAGATATCGCCGACTGTGTTGAAGAACAGGACCCCAGAAACTTAAACCTAGTTCTGACCAAATTTGGACACGGTGTCCTTTCTTCGAGAGCTGGTGAGCACACAGTACAGGAGACACCTCAGGGTAGACAATTTATATCTAGAGCGGTTTTTATTCATTTACTATAACGGTTTTGCTCCTGTAAGAATGCGACCCTCTGCTTCTCCTAGGAATTAAAGGATTGAATATATGAATATAATAAATATACTAACCCAATAAACCGCAGTACCGAATTTTAAACTGTGCGGGTATTGTTTTAATACGCTACTCAAACTCCAGGTCCATAATGAACTTGCATTAGTTACAATAATCAGACCTATTTTTTTAGAAGCGATTTTTGCACTTTTGACTTTGGAAATATCAAGAACAACAACCAAACATTTAGTGTTGATTTTAATATTTCGTAATTATTTTCAATATACCTAACTATATTTAAATATATGTAAACAACACCGATTTAAATATACTCAAACCTTGCATATTATAATTCTGCTGCAATTAATTTTAATTTCTTGACATTACTTACTTTTTAAATAATTAATAGAGCAAATTTTTTAAAAAAATCTATTCCAATAAACCAAAATATTATAATATTATGGCAACTCTCTTTTTACACATGTTCCAAATTATTATGGAAACGGTGAACCACGGTGTTGCTAACGTTTTGGTAACTCAAGTACATATGCGAATAACAATTCATTTATAAATATTGGTCAAAGTAACTGAATTAATATATATATAAACTATTATCATAAACGAACGATCAATATGATTGAATGCGGAATAAGGTAATTAAGTTATTATGCTTTTTGAATTTTATTAATTTTTTATGCAAACCTCATTTTATGAGTAATAAGCAAATCGTAATTATTAAGGAAAACAAATTATTGATGTCTTTATTTAAATATATTATTAAAGAAGTTTATAACGACTATCAGAATAATCTACGCTAATCTTTAATATTATAAATTGGACAGCATAATCTTTTGCCCAATGTACACAACAAGAAATCGTAAATCTAATAGTTTAAGATTAAGTTTCTTGAAAACTACACTCCAATCACGTTATTTTCAAATTTCTAAAAAAATATTAAAAGACTTATTTGGAAGCATATCAATATTTCGTAGTTGTAATGAAAGCTTTTTATTACTTCTTACAAATCAGTGGAATTATAGCACCGCATTCAATATTGTAAGAGATTTACGAACCATTGCTAAATATTAGTGTTAAATCCCCTTGGACTATGTATAGTCGATATAAAGCCTTTAATTGTTAGAGTTTGTAATAATAGTTAGGATTTGTGATGGCAACCTGTAGGTAAGGTCATTAAAACCATGCATTTTTTTTAAGACTTCTTTTCGGATTTGTGAAAATAAACGAAAAACAACCAATTACGCATTTGCTCTGTGCTTGCCCACTTTTGGATAACAAAATACACAAGGTTCGAGAGAAGTTGCTACATGACAATTTTTGAATTGCACATTGGTAAGGATATGAGACCTGATAAACTGAATAAACTCAACAGGATGGAACTAATCTTATATATCGAGGATTCATAGAAGGGTACCTCGGTTCAAGCCTTGCAATTCATCTAAGGATATTCAATCCTATTTTCAACTTCGGTGAGGAAAATGTTACTTATTATAAATAAACTTTTGACATATTTGTTTGACTTATACTTAAATAGGAGTTGTATGCTTTATGACGTTATCATGTATTTTATCGTTCCACATCGTTCCACACACTATGAATTAAGACAATTTAATCTGTAGCTCAGTTCACTGAGGTGATAAATATTTTGCATCTTTGTTCAAGTTATACTCAAATCCCCTTTACCACATGCTCTTTTATTCCCATTATCTTAATCCGCTCTATCATTACCGCTATTGTTTATTTCAATTCTCCATCCCTTAGCAGCGTAATCTTGCTTTATGAAGATTTGTAACACAACAACGACAAATAAATATTCACTAACCTCATACCCCCCATGGATAATGCCCCTATCTATTTCCATTTCCTATTTTATAGTAAGACAACTAAAACTAATCTGGCTCTATGGTGGGTTATTATGACTATCATAATAAAATATTCATAACCCTTAACCCTACCATCACTAATAAAATTAATCATTTTCATTTTCAATCTTTTTTACCTTAATTCGCCCCATAACTAATATCAATATTAATTCCTCCTCTTCAGTCCATAATTAAACTTGTCTGGCTCTATGATGGACTATGACAACAACAACAATAAAAGCCTCATTACCTTAATTCGCCCCATCAGTAATGTCACTATTCATTCCTCTTCTTCAGCCCATAATTAGTCTTGTCTGGCTCTATGATGGACTATGACAACAACACCAATAAAATTCTCATTACCTTAATTCACCCCATCAGTAATGTCACTATTAATTTCTCTTCCTCAATGCATAACTGCAACTGGTCTGGCTCTATGATGGACTATGACAACAACAAAAAATCCCTTGTTACCTTAAATCGCTCCATTAGTAATGTCACTACCATATTAAGTCCTCTTCCTCAGCCCACAATTGGAACGTGTCTGGCTCTATAATGGACTATGACAACAATAATAAAATCCTCATTACCTTAATTCGTCCCACCAGTATGGGGACTGATCTGGCTCTATGATGGACTATGACAATAACAACAATAAAATTCTTATTACCTTAATTCGTTTCATCAGTAATGGGGACTGATCTGGCTCTATAATGTACTATGACAACAACAGTAATCCCTTATCTGTATTCATCAAAATAAATGTAATAAAATTAGAAGTAAAGTCCAAAAAATCAGTTATTACAATGCCCATTTATGTCTTGTTACCACAATTGTGTATTGTGTATACATTTTTGATTATTTAAGTAGCCTTTTCCGAATAAAATAAAATAAAAAAAACGATCTGTGTGCAAAAAGTGTAGAATATTTTTCCAGCAATCGGTTTTAATACAATTATTTATTTGCGATAAGAACAACGAACTAAAGCGACTCAAATTCTCACACAAGCGTAAGTAGTTGGTTAATGATCATTAAGTCAGCAATAACTTAGTGTGTGCACACACTCCAACAAAAAATATCGTAAAAGTACACATAATCTTATCTATTGAAGCATTTATAAATTTGATCAGAGTTTATGCGAGCGATAAATAAACGCCGCGAGTAATATAAAAGCAATTCAACGATTATAAATTGCTTTCAGTATTGCAAGAGAATCAATTGTAGATAGACGTGTTTACGGAAGAAAATAAAACCGGAAAGATACATACCAAACAAAGAGGAAAAAATACAAAAACAAAAATATTTGTATCTCAAACACAAGAAACCAACAATACAAAATTACCAAATAAAATAAAAATTAAAATAAAAATAAAATTTAACAGAAAACAACACCTACAATAAACAATTAATTAAAATTTGTTTATTTGAAAACAATAACAAAAAGAGTGCTACTCACCATAAATAGTGTAAGAAGACCTTGTTGAAATATTAAAAAAACAATAAAAAATAATCAAGAAATACTGAAAATATTTAAAATTGAAAAACAATACATTTTAATAATTCCAAAAAAAAAAAAAATAATTTTGGAGTTGATTGAACTTTAATATTTAAAAAACAAAAGTATCAAATATACTTTGGAGATAAAAAAGTGCCAAGTGTGTTACTAAGCGTGGAAAAGTATCTTTCATAAAACTTTAAGTTGAACTTTATTACAACATTTTTACATAAACATTAATAAAATTAACACTAAAATATTTACCAAAATGAAGTTAAGGTAAGTGTTATTAAATTTCAATTTTTTTTTTTAATTAATTAATTCATAAATATTATATTTGTATATCTATCACAAATTCGATTTCTATTCCTTTATACTGTTGATATTTAAAGTTATCTATAACGAATATTTTTTTACTATTTATTCTTTTTTACGAATGTAATTCCAATTTTTTTTATTTAAACTGATTTATTCATAAATATTATACAAATACTTGAATCATTTATAAATTTAATTTTATTCTTTTATAATGTTGTTACTTAAAGTTATCTACGATAAATACTTTCTTACTATTCATTCACTTTTACGAATGTAGTTTAGAATTTCCCCGTCTAAATAGACTTTGAAACTAATTGTGTAATTTTTAGTACAGATTTTTAATTACAGTTTTTAATTATTTTGTAATTGTGTCACAGATAGGAGTATCTCAAATTAATTACTTCAATTAAATAGACAAAGACGTTTAACTAATGGCGATAATAGCTGAGCTGGAACATATTAATTGTATAATTGTAACGCTTAAATTAAACTTGGAATCCATCAATTAGATTGGGTGTAGATATTTTTATTACGTTTAACATATTATTTTTTTAATTGAAGTTGAACCAATTGCTGAAGTATTAATCATTATAAAGTATTTGTATATTAAAATTAATCAACAATAATATATTGAGTTGATTAGAATAACTCGATGAGTTATAAGGCATGGACGAAACCATTATTGAGGTTTAGATATGTGAAGATCAAGCGGTAAAATAATATAAATTAAAAAAAACAATCGTATAATGATTGAAAGAATCTAAATTCGATTAAGTATAATATAAATTTAAAAAAAAAATTCATAATTCAAAGCCTCAAACAATAGGCGGTACATTATAATGGTATAAATCTTTTTTAAGTGCCGGAAGTCCTTTGGCATCATTGTGCCAAAGGACTTCCTAAATTCGATTAAGTATAATATAAATATAAAAAAAAAAGTTCGTAATATGATTAAAAGAACTTATGCACCTTAACTTATGTGTTATTACAATGTAAACCTCAGACAGTAGTCGTTATATTATGATGGTATAAATCTATTTTAAGTTTCGCTTCCCCATCAGTGTGCCAAATGACTTTTTAATATAGATAGTTGAAAACAATTGTAGAAATATTTAACGAAATTATTTTGTATACATATTTATACTTTCCATTGGTTAAACTCCGGTTAAGGAACCACTAGTCCACCGAGGACTGTTATATTGATAAGGAAGAAGAAGAATTGAAGAAGAAAATTTTTTAAACTCCTTGTTAGACAAAGTATATAGTTTAAAGATAAAATATGTAAATAATTAATATCTTCACTATTATAAAAATATCTCATTTTAACTAAATAAAAGTTATCATAATTCAGTGCTCTTGATATTCTATTTTTACCCAATATAGTTTTTTTATTTAATTTATTTTGCAATTGATTTTTTTTTGTGGTATCAACTATCAAATCTAGTTATACGTAAGCAATTTCAAAAAAAATCTAAACTCATTCAAATAAATTTATATTATCAGAAATTTTATGTATTTCCAGAGCTTTTAAATTTATTTAAAATTAAACAAAGTAAGCTTTTTTAATCAATTTGTTTAACAAGAATTGGTAATAAATTTATTAACCCGTTCATGAAATGTTTATTTTTATTATATTTAATTAACAAAACACAAAATGTTTAAAAGAAGTAGAATTGAAAAAAAAAAAATTCACAAAAATTGAAAGTAATTTTTCAAGACTAGCTACAAATATTTATACTTCGAGGGTTTGCAATACAACAGAAAATGTTAAAAAATAAAAATAAATCAAGAATAAACATGTATTGAAGATTAATTTAATTAAAAATTGCAAATCATCGCCATTTATCTTGATAGCCTCAGTAAATGACTAAGTTCTTAAATAATTGTTTTACAAGTCTTTAAGCAATTTTTTAACAATAAAGTATGTATTCCTCACTAGTTAATTATTCTTTTTAAATAAAATTCCATTAAGAATTTGTTAAATTTTCTATATATGACTAATAGGTTTCTACTTTTTAAGCTTAAAAGAAATATTTCCATATTTTGTGCCTACAACGTTTATAGTAGTTTTTGCCAAATATTTATTTAAGCCATTTTTTGCAAATATTTCTGGATATACGTGTGCCTTCAATACTCAACAATTAAATAGCAACATTTTATAAATATATATGAACTACCAACTCAACAAGTATGACTAGGCACTTTCAAATAATTTTCTACATTAATATTCATATTATGGTATATTAGAAACTTTCCTTTCATGTTTCTATTTTGGTAGATTACTTTACAGTTTCTAATAGTGGAATCATGATATTAATTATATCGTATATGTAGGATACAGTGAAACCTATGAAAATTGAACATTGTTGAAGCAATTTTTAGAAATATAGTAGTAAATTGATTTATAAATAAAATACCTTACATCTTTTATAAGTGATATAGTATAGTACTTAGTGTTATAAGTGGATCGAGCCATATTAGTTAACTACGACATAAAGAGGTTCCTTAGCCTAGCTATAAGAGTAATTGAATGCTTTTAAATTTATAACTTGTGCCTGTATTATATATTCAATATACGTAAAAAAATAAATTATATATATTAAAAATCATTATTTCTTTATCGTTAAAAATTCCTTTTTCTAGATACAACTAACAAAATTCCATCCAGCCTCCTCTTCAATATATATAACTACTAGAACACATAAATTTTTAACTCCCGACTTAATATTTAACTAAAGAATCTATTATTTCTTTGTCGTTAAAAATTCATTTTTCTAGATACAACTAACAAGATTCTAATTTAACCAGCCTCTTCTTAAATATAAACAAGTACTAGAATATCAATCTTTAACTTCCGACTTAATATTTAACTAGAAATCTAGAATTTTAAAATAGTGTCCCTTCACACATATTGAATAGCATTCTTATTTTGATGACAGTTTTGTAATAAATTCACCTCATTCAAATAAATTACATTTAATATTATATATATTTTAAAATTTTTCGAAGCCATTCTTTTGCTATAGCAATCATTCTCTCAATACTGTTCTATAATATAATCCTAAAATAACATATCATCAATTGAATCTATTCTTATTAGAGCATAGAAACGATATTCAAGGGTTCGAACAGTAATGAAGTAACAATAACAAACATTTGAATAATTCATTGAAATTTGACTGACTATATAACGATGTTTCGAGTATTACCAAGTACTCATCATCAGTCATCTTAAGAAGGTATATATAAAGAATAAAAGTCATAAAAAATTAACAGTTATAACTTTTTAAAATCTTTTATACGGTTAATATATATTAAACGTCCACAATTTCAAAGTTTTCAGGTCTACTACCTCAGTAAGGGATATTATTTAATAAAAAGTCATACAAACTACGTAAAACGGGGTTACACATTATAAATAATGTAATATATATATATTGGATCTGATTATTTTTGTTTTTCATTGTTGTTTTTGTAACTCATATAGTTCTAACAGCTTAATGAATGCTGAAACTGTAATAGAAACAAAAACTAACCTAAAAAGCTGTTTTCTCATGTAAGTGTATTGAAGACCCATGCAATCCCATAATGATTGCCTTTTATTTCATTTTACAATCTCTGTTCTAAATATAAACAATATTTGTCTTAACAAATTAAATAAAAATTATTTGAGATTAAAGTTACAATTACATTTTAAATATTTTAAATACTTTTTTTTTTTTAGAATAAATAATAATATACGTATATGCGATCACGATTCTTTCTAATGATACATTAATGACATGACATATATTAGTCATCCATGATATTTACAGCGTATATGCATCGTACATTATATATTCATTTAATGACTACATAATATTCTATAATAATAACTTTTAAATTGATTTTTATACTATTTTTAACTTATTTCATTTAATTTATGGAATTTATTTATTTTATTACAAATTATACTTTTAAATATTGAAATTAATTGCTGCTAAGACAAGTTGTCTACCCAGTAAACAGCTTATGACAGCTGGTTTAGTTATTCGTGTTCAGATAGATTTTATTAAATGCAAGTCAAGTTGTTGTTTACTAATTCATTGCAAAATATTTCAACACTTCAAATACTATCGCAGATACAACATTTTGATAACTTGATTATTAGAAATATAATTTTAAAATTTTTATATAATACATATATTTGTATATACATATGTATATATAATATATATATTTCTCTTTAAAATGCAGTAACTAAGCTGCAGGTTAGCGAATAAACTCAAAACAGCTGATAAATTAATTATTAAAATATGTAAGTAGTCGTTCACATTTAGGTTAATATATGCATATATTTACATACTAAAATATATGAATTTAATATATACCATATGTGTATGTATAAAAATTAATATTTCATTCTTTGATTAAATTTTGAATTGCTATAATTTTACCGATGCCAAAATACTGATAAAGCCAAGTTGATATAGCCATATTGAGACAGGGCCATAAAAAACTGAAAGTGATTAGAGAAATGGTCACACTTACCAGCAACGAAAATTATTCTACCCGTACATATTTATGCATGGACGTAGACAGGAAACAGGATAGGGGGGAAAAACTTCTCGGCATGAAAACTAGAAAGCGCCAAACAAACAAAACAAAACATAAAAACGTTATTTCATTGAAATAATCCATAAAACTATCTGAAACAAGCATTCCTTCGATATTAATCCATCACATCAAACGGGGGCCACTATATGTTATCTTTGCATTATGAAATATTACTTCAAATAGTTTTTTTTCAGTAAGAGGAGTGGTCTAGGAAGAGTAAGAGGACAGCTAATCACCACTCTATATACCGTTTTTGGTAATACCTTTCCATAAATATGATTGATTTCATTGTAGAATCTGAAATTCTGTAGAAATTACAGTTGTAGATCACGTCTGAAAGATTTTTATTCCATTCTTCGATACGTCTAACTAATGGATTACGTCTAAAAGACTTTTATTTCAACCTTTATATATGCACATGTATTGATCTTATTGCTAAGACCGTAGATGAGGCTACTTTTCCTCTTGTAAAGTCTTTTGTATTAACATTTAATTGTTAAGGAAACCGACAAGGCTCTCAAACTGAGTTATTTTTTAGTCTGTTTTTGATAGGTTCCACTTTACAATAATTAATTGTTGAGAACATGATAGAGTCATGGTAGTAAATATATTGCTACATAATTGGGACGTTCCGGCTTACTACAAAGTCTAGGTAGAAATTTGACACTATATAGTATCGCTAACGACCAACGAACATAATAGAGTTAAGATAGTGAATATATTGCTACATAGTTGGGGTATTCCGATTAAATACAAGGTCTATGTAGAGATTTAACACTATATAGTATCAGTAAGAACCAACTAATTTAATAGAAAACGTAATAGAGTCAAGATAGTAAATTTATTGGTAAAAAGTTGCAACAAGATCTATGTAGAGATTTCATACTATATATTATCGCTAAAAACCAACTGGTCTTGCAAGTAGACAGATTTACCTAACCTAATCTAACAATGATTTGTTAATATGCAAAAGTGAATGTAATACCATTAAAATAGTTTATCAAAAACACAAAAAATGGGCACGTACAGGTTCCTATAGTAAGTTTGACAATCTAGTAAAATTGCATCATAAATACCAGTCGTCAATCATATGTACTTTAGTAATATGTACTTTGGCAGTTATGAAAATTATGAATGACTGAGTTAATGATACAATTACGATAAAAAATAATATAATTAAAATTTTTTACGTTATTTGTTGTTGCTATTTTGATAAGTTTTATCACTAAATTTGTTATGAATTACAGTCAGAGGCGGCATTCAACTCAGTTAGTAGGTAATTATGAGAAGGCATGTACTATGATTTGTCATACTCATTTCACACAAAAACTGGAAATTGGCAAAATTAAATATTTACCATTTAGTTCTGATATTAATGTACTTAACATATAAACGTACTACTGCATTTTAATTAGTCGTGTGTCAGATAAAGTTTCCCATACCGGAAATGTATGCTAATCGCTGAAAGCTTAACACCGCTATTCTAAGCTAACCACACCCATAAACATAAGCCCTATCATAAATTTGAATAGTAAATCAGTTAAAATATCACCAAATCTATAATCGAAAATCAAGAATCGAGAATCAGTTCTATGAATTGTACGCGTGGAGCATTAATTTTTTTTGAATTTATTCACAATTTTATATAATTTTTTGTCGATATTTAATAGCGGAAACGTGATTTGCGTAGATACATCGATTTGAGTTCTCGTTATATTTAATTGTAATTTTATTGGAACAATTTACGGGTATTTACAGGTATAAAAAATCATTATTAACGTAAATTCACTGGAAATTGAAACTGTGACGCTTCACTTCACTTCATCAAGTCAATTGTCATTTAAAATCCGTACAGACAACATCAATGCATCAATGGAATATCACAAAGAAGTATTCGTATCTCAAAATGTGCTCCATTCTGGACGTAGTAGTTGCTAACTTAAAAAAAAAAAAAATTCGTCAACTCACTGAATTCAATTTTAATTATTAATTATTTTGCTATAGTCATTTTAATTCAATTTTTTTTCTCCTATTGTATTTATTTTGTTTTTTGTGAAGTATGAATTCATGTTTTATTTTTGTGTTAAATAAAGTTGTACAATTTTTTTCAATTAAGCTTGGTTAAAATAACAGTCGTCAAAGGAAAAAAGTCCCGCCAGAAAACATTGTTTACTGGTGCTTCCCTAATTCAGTTAATTTACTTTAATAGTATCTTGTATCTTCTTGGTATCTTATCATGTGTTTTTTACTTTAAAAATTATTTATATATTTTTTAATTAAATGTGAACTCTGTGCAATTTTTGGCACATTTTTTCTTTTTTATTTAAACTTTTTATGACAACTTTTTCCATATTACTCAGTCGATATAAAAGCGTGGAGAAGTGTTAAACCCTTTTAGTAAGAAATATTACATATTATTTTTTATTCATATTTGCATTTCTATTTATATTTCATTATGTATTTTACAATTCTTTTGTTTTATTTACTCAAGATACAAAAGTAAGCTGCTTTATACATAAGCGTGCCGTGTGTTTCCATGAATCATTTTTATGGAAGTTTATTAAGAATTTTAAGTAACGTGAGCTATGCGATATTTGCTTAGTATTTGTTTTATTTCCAACGAAAGAGATATTTATTAAGAATTTTAGAATTGACTTCTACAGAAATAATTACTCTAGATTTAATAGAAAATAAAATAAATGTAACATAATATTAAAACCGCAAATATGTATTTTATCTATCAAATAGAATGGATGTTGACTTGAAAAAGTATCTGACAATTCCAACTCCTTTCACTTAATCTAAACTGAAATGACTGTCACAATTAACATTACTTATGAATTACTCGTTTTATAATATTTAATTAAATTTTTATTTTTTATATAAAAATACCATTTTAAATATAAACTCTAATTAATGCTACATGCGTTACTGACTGGTACTTACCTTAATGGTAAAGGTATTTCTACTAAAATGTGTCATCATCATCATCATCAGCGTTACACCTCGCGATGAGCTTTAGCTGCATCAACCAGCTTTCACCATTCTGCTTTGCATGTTGTTTTAGACCTTCAATTTTGGCTACCCATTTTTCTGATGTCGTCGATCACCTTGTCGAGCCATCTTATACCTATCTCTGCCTACTTCTGCTGCGATCGTTGCATGGTGTGAAATGGAGTATTCGCTTTTATGGTCTATCATTCAGCATTCGCATGACGTGTCCGATCCATCTGACGCATTTGTAAACTTTACAGCATATTCATCGTTACAAAGTTATAGTAGCTCTGCGTTTGTGCGCAGATCCTTAAAAATTAATTATAATTTCCTAATTTTTCATATGAATAAAAAATTTCTAATATTCCTAATATACAATTATTATTATTATATTACTAACGTATCAGACACAGCTTTTTATTTTCGCTTAACGTACTCTTTTTTTTGTATAAATCCGTTAGGAACAGCTTACTAGCTTCATTACAGATTATAGATGGTTTATAAAACGTCAGCTTTAAAATTTAATCTTCTTATATTTTAAAGTAATTATATTTAAACTCAGCTTTCATCTATTGAAACAATTTTCGCTTAAACTTTTATTCCTTTATAAAAGGTAAATAGGTTGGAGTGGCTCTCTTATATACAGGAAAGCCCACTTGAGCTCACTTTATAGAAAAAATTTAATAAAAAATAATAATTATATATCGCTCTACTATAATAATAGAATTCTAAGGATAGGTGTTTATATCCTAAGATACATATATTAATAATAATATAAACATATTATGTTAACAAATTTTTATTTCTTGTATCCTCTTTCATAAAATGTATTCTTCTGCTTAAACTCTTTTCTGGATTTCATTAACCGATTACTCCTTCTTTTACTTCTTATAGAATGTTACGGTGTTTTCGACATTCGAAACACAACAGTCATACAGACGATATACATGCCAACCACAACCATCAAATGCAACGCCAGTTATCGGGCATGCATAAAAGTTTCCATGAAGCTGTCAAAATCCTCTTACTAGGAACAGCAGAATCAGGAAAGACTACTATAATTAAACAGATGCGTATACTTCATATTAACGAATATACCGATGAGTAAGTTTTAATAACAAATTTTTCCGGTAACTTAAACCAGAAAACTATATCTTCTGTTTATTTACAATTACAGTGAACGACGTGATAAAATACCAGAAATCTATCAAAATATACATGAGTCAATTTATCAGTTAGTACAGCAAATGGATATATTGGGTCTAGAATATCAATCATGCACGAGTAGAAAAAGTGCTGAGTATATACGTGAGATGGGCAATACGGCGCCTGAGTATATGAACGAGGTAAGTGTAAATAAATATTTCACGTGAACAAAAGTATCTACCATACAACAAGTATGGTTCAATTTTTGTTAAGTGTCTAGTAGTGAAGGGCAACGATTACGAATGCACTTGATTATTATTTTTGTTGTAATTTGTTTAATTTGCAACACTTGTACTGAAGCAAAAGTCATGTAACTTTTCGGCTGAAGTATTGCATTTAAGGTAAAAGTATAGATACTTCATATTGTTTTTACTTTAATACCAAGCAAGCTAAACAAGATATAGATAAGCGTATATTGACTTGAGTATCTTTTTATAGTGCTTAAGAACGTGTTCAACTCATTTATGTACTCGTACAGTTTAAGTTCGAGTTCACTTTTTAAAATTGCCATTGAACATTTAAGCTTTAAACAAATAGTAAAGTAGTTACTTGCATTTATTATTGTTGTAGTTGTTGTTTGTAACTGTGCGAGTGTTATGTTCCAATGAAGTTCAAGAAAATGAAAACCTAAGTAAAACAAAAGTAAAAATTTACAAATATATAAAAGATACTTATGTAGCTGTAGGTATATACATATTTAAACTTATATTAAAATTTGCACTATTTACAAACAAAATCTTTTAATCTGTTAATCTGTTAATCTGAGGTAGACAAGTTCAGTAACCAAAAGTGCATGTACCTTCTCAAAGTTGAATAACCAGAAGACCAATTATTTTAATGATGTTTATACTTATTAATTTAATTAAACATTAAACATAAAAATTATCTGTAGATCTGTTGGAATTTTTATTGTTATATTTTTTGTTGAAATCGTTAATATAATTTCTGTCGATATAAAACAAAGTACATTTTATGTAAGATACATTCACATTTTCAACCTTGCATGCGTTTCACTCACCTCCTAAACCAATTGCTATAAATTCTCGCATATCATTTCCTTGCGGTTCGTTCTTAATATGATAACAACACTTTTCAACTACGAATAACTAAAGTCAAAACAACGTATCTTATAAATATTGTATCTATGAATAATACTGCAAAATATTCGTAATCAATGAATGAATGCAATTATGGAAAGATTGTTAATTTAACGAACGAAACAATACATCATTTTCATACTTGTAGATATTTAAATGATAAAAATTTGTATTCAATTAATCGATTTACGTCACTATACACTTTAATATTATGTTAATATAAATAATGAATTATTTAAACAAATTGATTATACATAAAAAATTTGTTAATTGAAAAATTTCCGCAATAATGAGTACAATAATTGGTGCTGAAGTGATTACAACCTATAATCGAATCCAGCGAAGTTAGAATATCTGAGTTAGAACTCAAGTATTAAACATTGATCAATTGTTGAACACTTGCTTATCTTAGTTTGTATAGATAATGCATAAATGTATTAGTGTGTAATATTTATAAGTTTTAACTGATAAAAAAAACTATTGAAAGTAAACACATACAAAGAAAAGATTATAGAAGACATTTCTGGAACAAAAAGTAAAGTTACTGAGCTTATAATTGATTTTAAAATCCTGAATATACCTACCGTTGAAGAACAATATATAGGTGTACTCAAAATCATGACCAGCAAAAATTATAGAAAGTATTAGAAAATGTATGGAGGATTGGGTAAAGTGCTGATATAGTTTTATTGAGGTCTTTAAACTTTGCTTTGAAGGCAACAGAATAAATTGGCAACAAAACATCTCTCTATTAAAATAATAATTTCTATTAAGAAACATGGTTTCTTTCGTCATAATTAACTTAACATAAATAACAAATTGAATATATAATTAGTTCAGGTTGGAATCTTATTAAAGGAATTGAATCTCATATCTCAATCTGCCTCAAAATAATACTTGAAGTATTAGATCTAACGCTGATTATGGAATATACCATATTCATCGAAAAATATTTGGAGAATTAGGACTACCGCTGATATAGTTATCACTCGAATGACTTATGATCTTTTTATATTTTTTTTAATAATAATATATAAATATATAATATATATATGCTATAACCTACGATTTATGAAAGCACATGAATAATGAATTTTTTGCTTATAATATATATTGATATAAGCAGAAATTAGATAAATCCCAGTATATTAGTTCCACTTCAACTAGCCCAACCTTTCTGGTATAATGTTAAATTTAAGAAGTCTCCTTTTTCCATTCTATAGTATCACAGTTATATTTTGAAAAAAAAACCCAAGTTCAGAAACGCGATGTAGCCAGCTAGTATACTATAGTAGTATAGTAGAATTTTTTATTTAAGTTAGAAAGATTTAGCCCCTTTAATATTTTCGGTACTCAATAATAAGTATTATGTATTAAATATTTAAATTATATTGAATTTTAATATCTATCACAATTTTATGAAAGTTCTTTAGTAAGTCCACTACTGCTCACATAGATAATATATGTATTTCAAATAAAAAATTAGAAACAGATACTGGTGTTTATATTCTTAAGATACAAATTAATTGCAGCATTATCATATTAATTACCCTCTGTCATGAGTATTAAAATCCAAACAATATCTCGGCAAAATATATAATAAAATCACTCTCAAAAACCATGCAACCAATACAATTATCGTTTTATTTTGAAATTATTTACTGCATTTAATCAATAATATTTTATTGAAGTTAAGGTTTTCAAAATACTGTGTGACCTTAGCACTGAGTCATACCGTCTTGCAGCCGTCCGTACTCTACGGATATTGCTAGTAAAAAAACGATAAGATTATTAAAACAATTTAATTAAAATAATATGCTATTGTAGTTGTAGACCGTAAATCCCGCCCATTTGTAAAAATATTGACCATTCATTAAAAAACACACAACTCATTGTTTCTAAGACCAAATAAATAATATTTTAATTTATTTGTTATTATTTAATTCTAGGAATATTGCGATCATATAACTACACTCTGGAACGATGTTGGTATACGTACTTGTTTCGATAGATCGAATGAATATCCGTTGCTAGACAGCACTAAATAGTGAGTATAAATAAATTTTCTAAATATAATTTCAACAGTTTTATTAGTTAATAAATTAAGAAAATAATTTACAATAATTTGATAAGTTTTGGAAAATATTGGCTAATATATAAACAATTCAAAAATTCCTAATTTTATCAAATTTTATTAATGTTTTGGTTTTTATTATTTTTTTTCTTGCAGTTTTCTTGATCATTTTGAAAGAATATCTGACTATGATTATATACCCACAACTGAAGACATACTACATAGTCGTAAAATCACCACCGGCATACATCAAATATCGTTTAATGTTAAGATACCAAAATCACTCGGCGGTGGTGAACAGGAATTCCGTATGTTCGATGTGGGCGGACAACGTGATCAACGCAATAAATGGATACAAGTATTCGAAGGTATACAAGCTGTACTGTTTTTAATCTCCTGTGGCGATTTTGATCAGACCTTACGTGAGGATCCTAAACAAAATCGTTTACAAGAAGCTTTGAATCTATTCCGTGGAGTTTGGCAAAATCGTTTTCTTGCTTCCGCTGGACTTATTGTCTTTCTGAATAAACAGGTAAATAATATGAAAATATGAAGTAATTAAAAAAAAGCAAACACATTAATAAGAAAATGTACAATAATATATATACTGCGAATAGTCTGATAAAAGGACACTTTCACGAAAGAGTATTATTATACCAATGTGATGTTGGTAGTCCCCGGATTTCAGTTTTCACACAAACTACTTTTTTAACCATACCGGGAACAGAAGACAGTTTTCCCTATAATTAAATAAAATTTAAATAAGTATATGAAAAGTTTGTTTTTGCAATTCATAATCGTTTCCAAATTATTTTTATTTCCAATTGTAGTTTCTTTTGCATAATTGACTTAAAAAAAACAAAATTAAATGAACATCATTATAATATTATACATTTGAGATATAGTTTAAACATGCTAAGCACTAACTTTCTAGACAATGTTAGTGAGTTGCAAGACCTATCCTTGAAAAGCATTGGATTTTATTAAATGTCCAATATAGTTTTACACCCTCCTACATTTATACCGTAATACAAATGGCCAAGAGGCCTGAATGGATCCCCAGGATAATCAATCAATTAAACAAATTTAATCTACAATATTACACTATACTTTCTAAAGATAATATAAAATTCCCACTGAATAAAATGATTTTTTAAAATTAGAAAACATATCTACTGCCTTTTTAATCTGTTAAGAATTAAGATCATAGTAAACATAATCATGAGAGCTCTATTAATTACAATATTCTTACTATTTCAGGATATAATGGAACGAAAAATATTATCTGGAAAGCATATAGTGGATTATTTCCCTGAATTCGAAGATTTCTGCAAGCAACCACAAGCTGAAAGTTGTTTTGACGAATGTGACTGGACAAAAAAATTCATACAACAAAAACTCATCGATATAACGCAAGAACCGATCAAGCGTACCTCACGCAATCGCATAGACTATACCCAACGTGAATGTTATTATCACTTCACTGTTGCCACAGACACGAGTTGCATACGTAAAGTTTTCAACGATGTCCATCAAATGATATTGCATGAGAATATGGCTTCTGTGGGACTTATGTGATGTCACATATACATTATTACTGCATTACAACCGTAGTTAAGATATTTTAAATTCATTGCAAATAGAAGTTCTATTTCTATAAATGCAAATCATCGATTCTGACTACTCACTTATAATTAGTATGCATAAATCTGAAAATGTTTGCATTTTCGCATTATCGGTTGAAAGTTTTATCTGTGATGTTCATTCTAATAATATTTATAATGTATTAATTTTAAGCTCTTTTTTATAGTTTTAGTACATGAATTTTTACTAATACAAGTATCTTCATAATATTAAATTCTCACACAACATTTCGATCTAATGCTAATAATTAGAAATAATAATTTAAAATTAATATTAGTTAATTATTTTTTATATTAAAAAAGAAACTAACAAAATTAAATAATTAATAAATTTAAAATAAATTGAAATTATACATATTTTTTTTAAAAGACAGTAAGAATAGAAAAATTGAACTTTAGAATCAATTGCTAGCTGATGTCGCTAAGAACTTTGATCTGTGTATGACTACCTAATAATCAGCTCAATCCGTTTCGTGCGATATCAAGCAAATCGTTTTTTATTTGGTTTTGAAGTTACATTGGAAAGCACGTAATTAATGAATTCTAAAGTACACTTTCATTAGCTAGACAAATTGAGTTATTTAATCAAACAATGGCAACTTCTCAAAAGCTTTTACCACTTGAATAGGATGTATTATTTCCAGATCTAACACCTTCAGATTATCATATGTTTGAAGTGGTGTCGCCAGAATTGTGCCAAATGGGGTCACACTAGAAAAAAATTGTGTGAATGTGTACAGTATATGTTCTGTACACGATATTGTAAAAGAGGGATCTGTGCCCTAATTCCTCACTTCGTAGGCGCTACAGCATATTTCTATACCTCCAACATTTTTTAGACGACAAAACATTAACTTCAAATACGGACTTCAACAGTTACTTTGTTAGAACAAATCAGAAATTTTGGGAGCATGGAGTCATACTTATGTCCCAGAAATTGAACAAACAATTTTAGACAAAATTGAAAAATAAATAATTCTATCAAAAATTTATACATTCTAGAAAAATTTATACATTTTATATTTACCGAAAGAAAATACTATGTTTTAAACAAACCAATATTTTAAATTGTCCATGATTTTGAAAAAACCATTAATTAAGTTTTTATTACATATGTAATATTATCAGAGATATAGTATATACCAAGCGCAATTCGTTTTTGACTTCACAAAATTATGGCCCCTGGTTCGCTTTCTTTCTTTTGACTTACTTCAAGAATGGTTTGATTTTGTTAAGTTTCTGTAGTGTTTCACTGATGGTAATTGGGGTATTCTTTGCGTTAATCCATGTGGTACCCAAACATCGGGCGTGCTCTTTTTCTACTATTCCAAACTATCATGTGATTTATGTGTCAGTGTTGATTCGCCAGTTGCAACATTTCATCAACTTTTTTAGTGACAGTGACAAAAAACTATACTATACTCATTACTATATCATTCATCAGAATAGTATATATCATACATCGGAATTAATAATATAAAATATAAGTTAACTTGAAATGTTTTAATGGTACTCTACTTTACCATTGCATAGTCTAAATCATCCTAAAAGTATGCAACTCATAAACGCAAAATAAAATATTGTGGAACCCAATTCCATAACTTCCATAATCAAAACCAAAAAGCAATTCAAACATATTTTAACATATTCAATAATTTTTTATTTAACTGAATTTCACAATAGATTCAGATGAAATATATTTCATATATTATACATTCTTTCAAAACTAAATAAGTTTGCAGAAGATCAGAGCTGTCCAAAAACATCCTACGGGTCGCATCCGGCCCTATGCATCCGGCTCCATGCATCCGGCCCTATGCATCCGTCTATCCTATGTTACTACATTACCAAATTGTCCTATAGTATTTGTATATTGTATTATTCATTTATTATTATTATTTATAATTATTTATTATTACTATTTATATATATTTAAAGCTCCTTGGTGTGTGTTTTCCTAAACTAACGGCTTCAGTCGATGATGGGCATTACTAATCTCTGTGGAAGGGCGTTTATACAACGATGCATTTTATAAAATATAAATGTAGGTCCTTCACTGACTGATAATTCACTTAAACACGCACTACGCCTGCCAACGACTAATATTAATAATATTAATATTGATAGAATTGTAAAAGATAAATTAATGAAGAATTAATTATACTAAATTTAACATTATCGCCATATATTAATTTTTCTCCAATTAAATCATGAACTTATGTATTTGTTTCAGCGGCCCTCCAATGTATACAGTAAATTATATTGTCCTGCAATAGATTCTGGTCTAGACAGATCTGTAATAGATAACTAACTATCACTCTTTTAAGAAAAGATCTATCGTAATAATTCGATTTCAATTTTTCAAGCCTAAAATCTATAACACATATCTAGGCCATACCAATGCTAGCGTAAAGACAATATGTTAAACAAGCTCATTCCCAATAGTCAAGAACAATTACAGGTGCCGTTTCTATATAAATGTTCAAGTAAATATACTTATATATTTAACTATAGGCGTTTATACTTCTATGGCATATCTAACTCAAAACAGCATAATCGGTTGAACAACGCCGAAAAATATACGACCTTTGATTTTCGGCAGCTCTAATGATTTTTGACTTTGATCTATTGAAGTGGCTACATTTTTCCGTTTTGAATTGGGCTAGTTTTAAATGAAACTTATCTACTCTAAATTTATTTCTTATCCTAAACAATCCCTCTTCTTACTCTACCCTTGCCTAAACAAATTTTTACCCATGTATTCATATGTACATATAATTCGTTTCATAACTCCTGCTTTATGTACAGATTAACATCAGTGACTTTTTGCTTAAGATATGATCAAATCGCAAACAAAAGCCCGATCGGTAACGAGTGATCCATTTCATGGCATAAAGCACAACATAGTTCGATGGTGGATATACATAGATGGCAGTTCGTCAAGTGAAACTTATTTAGGTTTTAAAAAAAGTGAAAACACGGTCACTGAGCCTACTTTAGATATATCAGATAGACAATTGATAGCAGAAATGCTCAAACAATATCATAGCATTGTGGTAAATATCCTTATCTTCAACTCTATCTACGAGATATGGGATTGCACCACTATTTGATTTGCTCGCTGGCCTATAAGATAGTGCACAGCTAACATGCTATATTAAAAATAATTCTATAGTAGACAACGAAGACCAATCAATCGCATCATTCCGTTCCTATTATTGGCCGAATGCCAATCGAAAAGAAGAGTACAACAACAATGATGGTGTATAATATTCGTATCATTCTAAATTTATATATAAATTGGCAAAAAACTAAGTAACCATAAAACCAAGAAGACCACAGGAGGCTTAAGTCAATATTTGCTCTCCAGTTTAATTTAAAATCTAGATTTCAGGTACCTAACAAGGCGAGTTGGCAAAATTTGCACCAATTTAGTTTCAGAAGAGGAAATATTTTTTTTTGATTTGTGCATGAGTTAAATTCTGCTTGAATAAACCCTCAACCGACTACGTTTACTATATTCAAAAAAATTCAGGTAGTAGATTATTCCTTCTGTAAGAATTTAACAACCAGAAAAGGCGAATATAACATTATTAGCGCAAGGTAATGAATTACAAGCTACTCAATTAAAATTCATAAAACGTAATGAATCAAGTTAATATATTTTAAGAAAAGTAAGTCGAAAATCTCATATAACATAGACAACTTTATACATAACAATATTATTATTGTTAATTATAATACAAATCTTTTCAACTGAAATAAAAATCTTATACACAAAATTGTAATATAATTCTACCTAAGATTCACGCCGGTAAATACAAAAATGACAAACTGGAAATTCTTTGCCGATAACAGCTGACAATATTCAGCCAACTTGTTTCTGTTTATTACAATGCTGCCAGATCGATAATTTTTGCAATTTACTTTATTTCTGTTTTTGTCAAATGGTCGCTTGAAGGCTAAAGTACAATATACTTTGTAAGAAATTATTATTAAATAAAATATCTGAAGCAGGTATTAATCACAAACAATGTAATGTACTTCATAAGCATTCACAGAATAAGTAACAACAAAACTATACAATTTAAAATTCCATTTATTTTATATATATTATATGTATGTGTATAGAAAAAGAAAAATTATTTTATAAATATCTTTAAACTACAAACATATAATGCCTCATATTTCCAAACATTTATTGTTTCATTATGAGAAAAATGTTATGCATAATTATAGGAATATATAAAAACCAAAAATAAAAATAAATTTATATTAAAATAAAACCACTTTTATTGAACTTTGTTTTTGATTTTTTTACCAAAAACCTAGTTCCTACATTGCAATGTCAATAAAAATGAACTCATTGAAAACCAATGTCTACTCGTATACATAAAACTTTGCTGAATATTAGTTATATAAATTTTAGTTTGGGATTTGCTTCCTGCTTGCATCAAAATATATAAATATATACATATATGTGTGTGTAAAAGACTTTGTTTTCGAGATGGAAGTTTTCTGTTATTTTTTTTCGCTGATACATCACGCTGATACGTCATCTTACTTAAACTAATGATAACGAAACGCTCAAAAGCTTCAGTTAATCTAATATATTTACCTTATCATCTACTAACGTCAAAAAAAATCATATCCTGAAAAAACACAAACCGATTAGTAATGTTAACGTTTAGTAGTTATCATTGTTTAGTGGTTATATAGTGGTTATACGGATATATATCTCAATTTTCTTAAAACTATGTTTTTCTAAAATCCCTATTTATGAGATAAAAATATATTTGTTATTAAAGCAAAATATTATATGTTTTGCTTATTTTTTATTTTGTGTAATTTGTATTAAATTTCAGTCTGCCATTAATAAACATTTCATATATGGCCACACTAGTAGAAACTGAGGTGAGTTAATGATTTCGTATAAACGAAACTAACAATTTTTAGGCAGAGTACTTTTTTTATTTATTTGCAATTTATATATAATAATATTTGTCAAAATTTCCATGACACAATTTATTTATATTTTTTATAAAACGGACAGAGATAAGCCCTCCAGCCACAAAAGAGTAAAAGTGCTCAATAGCACTAATCCAAATCACAACAACAGCAACATTTATAAAACGGTATTTTTCTTTTTCTAACACAAAATTTTGATGATAGCAGAAAAACCATAGACTACTACATTATTTTAAATTATAAAGGTATTATAAAGGTTTTAGCAGCACAAATTAGAAATACGTGAATACACGTGCATATTTTAATTTTGTAGGAAATTTTTAAAGTTTCGTACTAATCTTGCACATCTGGCAACTTTATTACTCAAATAAAAAATTTCCCTACACTCTCTGCCATTGGAAATCAGCGATACTTCTTTGGAAAGCATTCCATATGTCTAAAATGCTCCCGTTGAAAAATAAATAATAAAAAGCGTACTGCAAAAACCGAGCACTGACAGAAACTGTAGTGACGCCGGCTGACTGAGTGGAACGGTTCGATTTCATTTTTATTTTGTAAAGACGCGTTACCGTTAAAGAAATCTCATTTATTTGAATTAAAATGTAAATATAAATAAACGGGTACACTTTCTTTATGTTAATTGTGTGATATGTGTGTGTTTTGTGTATATCAATATATACTAAAAAAAATCCTTAGTTTATAGTAAAAAATTCTGACAAGGATAACTGTTGTAGTTTTGCTAATTTTTTTTTTTGTGATTCTCATTCATATGTGTAAATAATTTTATCGATTACGTTTAAAATGAGAGAAAATAAGATGGGCACAATATATGTTTTCCGAAAAGAAATTAAGTAATTTTTTTGTAATAAGCAATTTATAAAATCGCAACTTGTAAACTAATTAATAATTATAACAAAAAAATATATAAAAATATGTTGTTGAAGAAACCAAAAACAAAAAAGAAATTTTGACAGAAAAATTTCTCCAAAACGTGATCAAATGTGTGTGCTTTCCTCTTTGCCTTCTTGCGGTTGCCCTCCACCACTAGCGTTTCAGCAGTTAGCATGCTAAAATTGTACAACAAAAATTATTACCGAATAAAACCGGATATTATAGTTAAATACAAAAGACTGTAAAGCTCACCGAAATTAATGTATGAAAATAAAAATTATTCAAATATTGATGATACAAGACAAACAGTCAAAAATATAATATGAGCAGCACAAACGTGTTAGAAAAGCGACAGTTTGTTGACTAAACGTTTGGTTTGACGAATGGGCGGCGATGTGTGTGAATGCACAAAATAAAAACAAAAATATGCAACAATAACAACAACAACAACCTTTTCTCATCAAATTTCCAATTGGATTTTTTATTTTGGCTATTTGTTCGCATTGCATGTATATAACAGATTTATTCAATTAAATGCATGCAATTGCAAGGGAATTTTTAAATAATTTTAATATAAAAAAAATAAATAAATAATATATACAAATTAATGCCAAAATAAAAAATAATAATGGAAAATAATTTATAAATGGGGCTCAACATATTTGACAAATTATCAAATGTTCTTTAACGTCAAATTTTATTCTATTGCCTATTGTATTCATTCATTTGTGATTGTTGCTATAATTTCCCGGCTAGCTATGTTCAGTGAGATAGGCCAGTTGCCTTGCAGACAAAATACTGCATAGAAAAACCAATGCATACAACAACTACACGTTAAAATTTTTTTTTTAAATCTGGTGTGAAAGAATATTGAAAAATCATTCATAAATTTTTTTTTTGTACAATTCTAGCAACAATTTATATTTACGTTGCGTTACGATATAAACAGAGTACTTTTTGTTATTATTATTATATTTTTAAAAAATATTACAGTAAACATAAACATGAAAAGTTAGCGGTGTTTATTTATATTGTGGAAGGAGACGCAAAATGAGTTAATTACCAAGGTCATTTCACATCACTGCCTTATCGATTAAACAATAAACATTGCTTGACAAATCATACTCTGACTTCAATTGCTATTTTTTTTACGTTAAATTGTAGTCAAAACTATATAGTTCACAATTATATTTAATAATGTAATTTAGTTACAAAACTTAAGCCAAAACAATATATATATGGTATATATAAATGAAATGGAAAACAATAATAAACTTGATAGATAGTAATTTATATTCATACTAGCAAGGTGTGGAGAAAAGGTAGGACAGTAGTAAAGTTGATCCTTTGCTACAATTTTGACAAAAAAATTGAAAACGCATTAATAGTACATAATCTTTTTAGTAGAAATAATGAATGAAGACCCTTCCAGTAATGTATAAAATTAATTTGGTAAATGAGCAATAAATTTGCAGTACCGACTAAGTATTTCGGAGTATTTTTCTTCTTAACCTACCCATCCATTACTGGTTGTTAGCGGTCATATATATAAATATATATATATACAAGTATTTAAGTATTACCGCTATTAATTAATTGATTAAAAATGTCCTTAATATAATCTCTGTGAAATGTATCAAATAACTCACTAATGCACTTACCATAAACATCGAACCAGGATTGTTCCAAAGTAAAAAATTTCCTACAAAGTATTTATAGTCGATATTTATTTATAGACCCATGAATTTATGTTAAACAAAGTAACATTCGTAGTATTATTTCCAAAAGTTGTACTTAATTTCACTTCTTGATCAGAAACTATAACTAAAGGCTCAGTTAGAAATACGCAGGTTTGGTTGGTTGTGCATTTCGCTTTGAATAATTTCTTACGTTACTTACCGTCTAACTGATCCTTAACTCTTCTATCATTATTCTTTCCACATTTATTTTTAAAACTTTCTCTATTGCTTTTAGTATTACATTCTCGAAAGTTCTATTGATATTACAGAGTCAATAATTTTTTAGCGTGATCACCTTTGCAAAACATAGCGATGCTCTTAACACACATATCAGTACAATGCACCATATTGAAATTCAAAATAATCCCGCAACTACCAAATGAAGCTATACATTTGAATACAGTTTCCTCATTGTGAAAGAGCGAGGACTTTTTAACAACTCTTCTGTTCATTGGGGCATATAACTCGATTAGAAAATGCAACTTTAAATCGAATGACAATAATGAATGTAGTTATTCTATCCGCATAACTTGGAGTTTTAACCACAGCCACACAGGTCAGAACAGTCAAAGCTGTAGACTCTAAACCTCGTGGTACCAGATTTACACCTTCGGTCCGGTACAGCAAGTGAAACTCATTTATTATTTAAACAGTATCATGTGGTGCCTACCGGATTTTAGTCACCTCTTATGACAAGCATGCCTTACCTCGTGAATATTCTAACCCCTTTCCCGTGAGGGTAATATTGCAATAATACCTAAACAAAAATATCAGATTTGTATAATTTTAATTAATTTTATATCATAATGCAGAAAGGGAAGATTTATTTCTTAATATCCCTTTAATTCCAAGCATGATTACTAAATAAATTATGGGTTAGAACTATAACATTTAGAAACTCAGCGGAATTGAAAGGGCCTCTTTTAACATTTTCTAGAAAAATATGTGCTGGTAACTCTGAGGACATCTCCATATAAGCTACTAAAACTTGCAAAACTATCGGTGCTTTCATTGCTTTCAGTATTCATGTGAACTTATATGAGAATGATCTCTGAGATTTCTGCCATACATATACTCTTATTAGATTTGATCGAATTGTGAAACATTAGAGTGCTTTAATTGCGGGTTGTCTGTGAATGGTACCACTTGATTTATTCTTTTATCTCACTATGTATAGTTTACATCTATGCTGTCCTCATTGTTCAGACCTCACTTTGAAAAACTATAGGTTTTTTGAAAATAGATTATTTTATATCTGCAAATCGAAAAAAAGTTATTGCATTTAAGCAGCAGTTCATCTTTGAGCAATGTATAAAAATTGAGAGATCATATTTCGCTTAAAACTTTAATTATTTTCCAGTTATATCTTAATGAAACTATTATAGTATTATAGTTTGATTGATAGTATTTGATCGTTCAAAACTATTAATGTGTAAGTCGAATTAATTTCATAAAATCTTTAAAAAAGGTTTTTTCTGTGTTGCATATTCTTTACAAAATCCTATTTTAATAAATAGTCCTGTCTCGATGTCAAACATCGATAAATAAGTATATTGTACCAGTATTGTAGTCTTAAGAGTAATTTTTCTATTGTTACGAAAGATTTTGTTGTTTCTGAAGGGAAACAGATTAGTATATAGTACAGTGAGTCTTAAATTTATTTTTAAGTCATGTGCTTCTATTAATAATTTGAACGAATTGACTATGATATACTTTTTAATAAGTTTTAACTTCAGATTATAGGAGTATTTAGATTAGTATTACTCCATTTAAAGATATTCTATTAGAAGGTGTATGTATTAATACTTCTATAATCTTATAACTGTAAAATTTTTTTATTAGCATTACAGTCCTTGGTCGACCAGTACTTCCAGTAAAATGCATTGATGATGCTTTTTATTTTTACTTCGACCTGATGCAAGGACTCTCCAATTCCGTACACCGTCTACTTGATCATTGATCATTGATGCTTTTATACTGTTTTGTTTAGTTTGAGGTATTTGAGGTTTAGTTTGACGCATTCATCTTTTATTAATGTATGTAAAATACATTAATATGAATTAATCTTTATATTAATCTATATTAATACAAAGTAAATCATGAGTATATTGTTAAGGGGATTATACTGGTTTTTAATTTATTTTTTTAATAATTTCTCAGAGTTTATGAAGTATGAAGATATTGTTCACCTAACATTAAAATATTTCAAGTTAAATAAAAAAGAAAAAATAATTCTTTTAAATTTAGAATATTATATTATAACAATTAACGATTTAAGTACAAAATATTGTGGATTGGAAAAAGATATAAAATCTTGCTGTAGCTCCAAAACAATGATTAATGCTTCTCAAAAGCTTAATAGTCACTGCTTTTGTGACTTTCTTAAGACTGAATATGAAATTATAATCAAAAAATCATATGTATTCAGATGACGTATTCGTCTAAATTAAATCATTAAAAAGAACTGAATTATTTTTATTATACATGTATGTATATTTGTTTTAATGAAATATTGAGTCATAAAGTTTTCACAAGATCCGATAAGACTATCGCGAATTTATTCACTTCTTTTATTTAATTTAAATTTGTTTTGACTTTTTCTTTTCATATGCTTAAACTGTTTGAATGGATTTTTTTTATATATATTATATTACTAAGCCATTTAAGAAATTCTAAAAAATAAAAAATTTATATAAAAAATGTTTAAATGTTTTCTCTGCAATTACAGTTAATTCCCGTATTAAATACTGTTCAGTCAAAATTATTACCGCAAAGATACAACAACTAAAATCAGCTGGCGTCGAATTCTTGCATACAGAAATAATTTTTTATATATAAATAAAAATGATAAATATGGATATAAGTGTTACCCCAAACTATTCCTACATTTTCGATTTCGAAAATGATTTTATACATCAACGCACACGAAAGTGGATGGTAGAAAACTGGACATGGGTGTTCTACTATTGTGGCATTTATATGCTAGTGATATTTGGTGGACAGCATTTTATGCAAAATAGGCCGAGGTAAGTGAAGCAAAAGTTTTATCTATAAATATATTTATATACCTCACATTGTATTTTATTCCATAATTATATGTCTATAAGTCTATATATATTTGCCTAAAGTAGTTAGCAACGTTTCAAGTTCAATCCCACTATTAAGTTAGTGAGAAGATACATTTTGAACTGAACTGAACTGAACTCGTATATTGCTTTGTTTTTGTTATGATATCATTTGTTTGTAGGTGTTTATATGTAATAAATACATCTATATTAGAATATTAATGTTGCCATTGAATAATATTGATTAATACTATTATTGTAAACTATTTGAATACACGTGCTTATTATTCCAAATATAAATAAATTAAGCACACAAGTCATATGGTAAAATCTCACAGATAAATTACAACCGGTTTTGATATTTATTATCTCGTAACAAATTTCTTGAAGAAATCGATTTTATTTAAATAAAAAGTTGCTATAAAAATACTATTAAACTGTTTAAATGTCATTATTTTTAAAAACGAAAAGTATTGTATAAAAATCACATGATATATAGATACACACTAAAGAATTTCTTCCCAAATACATATAAATCAGATGATAATTCCTTGATCTAAGGAATTATCTAACAAAAAACCCAACGTTTTCTTAAAAAACATTCAGTCTTAAACACCTCAATATCTAAAAAACGAATTCAGAAGGTATTAATCTTTGTTAATTTCTATATAAGAATAGTATTTCTTATACTAATTTTACACTACACGAGTTAATGTTTATTCATACCTGAATTTTCTGAAGTTGTAGCTGTTGTATATGTGTTTTTTATTTTCAATGTCTCTTTGAACATTCCAGCGCAGGAACGGTACATAAAGCCTATTATGGTTTTATGCAAAAATTGATATTTTTTATAAAGAAAATAAATTCTATTTCCAAGGCAATTCATATACAGTGCAACAGTTCTAATGTATGACTTCCTTAAATCATGTTAAGGAGTTTTTTATTAAAAATTATAATTCTAAGAATTTTGGAATTTAAAATACTTATTAAATCGAGCCCTTAAAATTAAATATAAAAGTGATTTTTCTACATAACTATATCTGCGACATCGTTATTTGATACATTTAAATATATAAATATAATTTTAATATATAAATTTAAAAATAGGTAGTATTATAGATATTAATAAAATAAAAAATAGATAATAGTATAAATATAAATAGATTTAAGTATACAGATATAATATTCATATGGGTGGATATATTTTGAACAAAGTATTTATATACTAACGTTATCGCAGACATATATTATTTATATACATATATATAAATATATTTTAACGAAAATATAACATTTGAGTTAATTTTTTTTTATTTATTTATTTTATTAATAAATTTTATTTGTTTTTATTAATTAATTTTATTTATTTGTTGTTATTAATAAATTTTATTTATTTTTTTTATTCATTTATTATAAATTTGTCACTATTTTATATACTGATACTGATTTAGATACTGATTATCATACTGCTTAATTAGGTACTTTTGTACATATATATACATATACATGTTATTGTAGCATTATTATTCTATTAAATTATATATATATATATATATGTATATATATATATATTATATATATGATATATATATATATATATATATATATATATATATATATATTCCTGGAATAATATCTGCCGGGAATCAAATAATACAATCCGTTATAAAAGGATGGTAGAGGCCCTATGCTTCACTGAGAAATGAGGATAAGAGATATATATATGTATATATATATATATATAAATTGATCAAAAAAATAAATAAAATTTATTAATAAAAAAAATTATACTCAAATATTATATATTTTTTTTTAATAATATTCAATATCTTAGATTCAAACACCGATCGGAACAATATTAAATTTTATTGAAAAACAAATACAACATTCGAGTATAATTTTTTTAAATGCATATATGTAGCTACTTTTTACGTATCCAACATTTTACGCGTATGTCAAAGTTTACATAAGTAAATGCTCACATCTATACATAACATCTTAATTATGTCAATTTTTATATATAAAATATTTGAAAAAGTTCAAACTTTTTATTTTGAATTTTATAAAATTTGCATTTTTGCACAATTTTTAACTAAAAAAAAAAAATTTTATTTTATTTGAAAATCTTATTGATTTCATATACAAACATGACAATATGCTTGAATAACATATCGGCAAAAGTATCTAACACTTTGACAGTGAAAAGTATCAATTTTGTAACTGATACTTAGTAGTGTAAACTGAAGTGGACCTTGAATTATATCTAAAATAGTTCACAAGATTTTTATGCCATAAGATACGTTGAAAAGAAAAAGCTTATCGTTTATCTATGTTTATGTCAGCATAAATTTGTATCTGTTTGTATCTCTTGTTAGTGGTTCAAGATATGTGTGGGTATCTTTAGTGTTATTAAATATTGTTATGTAATATCTTAAACTTTGATTTACATACTGTGACACATGAATAATCTTAAATCAAACAAATTTTGTATATAATAAACATTTTTTCGCTAATTCTTTTAGTTAGCTGTCGTTTAGCATTCTCTTTAATATTTCAACAGAAAAATATATGTATCTTTTTTATACACACATTTATAATACATACATTAAAAGAAAAGCATATTAAATTACAAAAATTAGTACAATTTGCTTAACCTTATTTTTATATTGTATGTTTGACTAGAGAATGAAGCACATCTTCACAATTGTAACTACAAACAATACAAACAATACAAACAAACAAAAGCAAAGATTCACTCACTCGCATTCATAACTAAATTCATGCATAAAACTAACCACAAACTATTTCATTAAGAAGCTGTAGATTGTGTGGGAGTAGTTTCCTACAACAGAACAAAACAATGGCTAATGTATAAATAATGCTCTACAAAAACGCAAGTATCTACAAAAGTATCTGAAGCACTCTTTCTCTGCTTTTTCAACTTGTCTTGTCTACTTGTACATGTGCTTCTCATTCATTTATTTAACAAATTTTGCCGGTTCTTTTTACGCGCAATCACACTAGGCAAACAAAAATTAAATAAAATATAATTATTAAAGCAACAAAAGAACAAAAAAAAAAACAAATTAAATAGAATAGAATAAATAAACAATATCTTCACATACTTTTTTTGGTATAAATAATTTTGGTGCTTCTCGAAGTTTGCATGTTACGTCATACCGCCAACAAATACGCCTGACCAGTATTTTTACTTGGGTTTTTGTTTTATGTGACAGAACACACCCTGCTCGACACCACCATTACTAAGTACCTCTGGCTTACTTACTTGTACGTTACCACCCCTTTTTGTTTAACAAACTCAACATTTTGCAATATTTTTAGGTTACGCCGGCAATTCTAGATACTAGCAAAAAGTATCTCGCCCGCCATCTGACACCAGATTTTTTTTTGTTTTGCGGCAGGCAATACCACCAGAATTTTTGCCGAAGCCGCATGCTACAATGTTTGTTCTGCACTTTTTTTCCTTGTTTTTATTGATTTGTCTGTCTGTTTGTTGTTTTGTATGTCATGTGAATAATATATTGCCTAGGATAAGTGATTACGCTACTTTCATTTATATAATGGCAATTATAGATACAATAATATACACACAATAACATCATTCAATATACATATACTACTAAAACGCGTATTGTATACCGAAGAATGTTCTATTATGGTATATACTAACGCTGATGATATAATATTGTGTTACTCATATTCTTGTAATAAGAGATTAAAGCTACATTGTTATAGAAATGCTGTGTAAGGCTATTCATTCATCTAGTAAAAATTAAGAATTCTTAATCTGATATGAATAAGATAAATCAAATATGAGCATCTGCAAGCAATAATTTTTAAGTGGGCGTCAAAGAAATCACACAATTTATATATACACAATGAACTGACTATTAACTAATTAATACAAGAATTCCTTAATTGTTAAGATTAATGAAAATTGTGAGACTCCCTTAACATCTAAACTTAAAATAGTGATTGTCGTAGTATACTGACTATATCCACACGCACTGCTAAATTTCATAGCCGTTGTAGAAATTAAGAAACATTATGTGGCTTAAACAAAGCAATAGGATGCCATATTGTTCCTCCCTAAGAGACTCCACAGCGCTATGAGAATCGAATTTAATAGTCTCAAAGTTTTCGAACATTATAATGTTCAAACAGTATATTCGAGTATACTTGAGTTCGACTAATAAGATCAAATATTTCAATATTCTACTTTGTGGTCCACAACGTTATAAGTCGCATTAGAATGAGTTGTAGAAAGTGGATCAATTTTTTGGAACTGAAATAGTATTGAGTACAAATAAAATAATAGAAGTGCTCCTCCTTTATGGACCGCACAGTATTATGAAACCGTTAGAATAATATCCAGTAGTTTTTCAAAGTATTCCAACATTACGATATTCAGTATATTCGATTTCAAATATTATATACTTTTATATACTTTTGTTTTCTCCATTCTTAACACCTGTCATTATCAGTCATTATCATCAACATCAACTCATAATATAAATACATCAACAACTAGAAGAATTAGGCAGTAACTACAATAAAGTTTACTTCTACTAACACTACTACTACCACTACTATTCATATCAGTCATCAGTGATGTATGTTTTTTGATACTTAACGAAAATTACTCGTCTTTTCGGAGGGAGAAGAGAACTTATGTCAACATAGGTCAGTATATAATTAGTGCGATCAGTCAGTGATATACTTCATTATACTGTACGTCTAGAACTGTACAGATAATATTCTTGATAAATTCTTTACAAAAAATAACAACTGTTCTGACCCAACAGAATAGGTTCTGTTCTGAGAGTTACTTATTACATATATACCCATCTGCTTATACTATGTTTTCAAACCTTATGATATTCCCCGTCTGTTTGTAATAACTATACCTCAATGAATGTTTAGTGTATTCGGAATTTGAA